GTCCGACAATCATCTGGCCGAGCTGGACGGCGACACCCTGCGCTTGTTCGGCCTTGGCGCCCTGGACGTGCTGGAGAGAGGCTGGGGGGCACAGACGGCCAGCGCCGTTACCGTCATCGCCTTCCGTTACATCCATTTTGACGCCATCGTACCAATGCTGCCCAGGATCAGGGTCAAGTTTCCCAATCTGGCGGTGAGGACAGAGGATTACAGGCAGAAGAATTATGCAACCCTGACTATGCAACATGTTTGAATTTTTTTTTGTTTGTTTGTTTATGTAGCATCTTATTTTCCTGGAAACCAACATCAGCCGTCTGCCGCAGTTAGCTGCACTGGCTCAGGTTCGCCGTCTGGACCAGCTGACCATCCACCAGCAGGGTAACCCGGTGGTGGGCCTCGCCCTGTGGCGCTCCTTCGTAATCTACCGCCTCCACCACTTTAACCTGCAGAGAATCAACAGCCAGGAGGTCAGTCCGCATGGCGGGATGTTTGGTACGCCCTTGCACCGGTGTGCTAGTGAGATCCAATGCAAGAGCCGAATCAAAAGGATTTGACTTTGAACTCTATGTTTATTGTTTTATTGTCGGTAGGGGGCAGCGGTGCACAAATTCGCTTTCATTATTTATTAACAGTGGAATTTGATTTGGGCATATTATTCCTGGGGCAACTTGAATGAAATTGCATTTTATTTAATTTGTCCAGTCCTGAATTAGTGTTCTTGTAGAGTTTTGTTTGACACTCTCAAATCACATTTAAGATTATTTTGATATGATCCATTTGTCATTCATATCTCTCGAAGAGCGTCATCCCCATGAATACCTTTCCTGAAGACCTTTATTTTATTTTAATTATTTACTTTGTATAGAAGAGTGTTACAGGAAAATGTCAACAACATTTTGCAGGATTTTTTTTTTGGTTAAGATTTTGAAGATATTATTTTATGATTTATTTTGTTCCTCAGCAATGAAGGAACAAATACAGAAAAAGATTTATGCAGACATTATTTTGTGATTTTTGCTTTAATAAATTATTTTGTATTTTATTTGATTTAATTGCGTTTGGATGTAGGTCCCATGTGGGTTGATAAACATCTCATTTACAAATAAATGAAAACATTTGCTTATTTTGTACTGGATCTCACTGGCATTGGCAGGTGTACGTCCAAGGAACATTTAGCAAAAAGCTTTCCCTCTTGATGTGATGTCACCATGTATGTTTTCTGTGTGGTGTATTAGTATATCTGTGTGCATGTGTGTGTTTGTTCACAACCCTCGCCAGGTCACCATGAATGACGTCATTGCTGCCGAGCGCATCTTCGGTACGCTGGGCCATGTGGCGGCCACCGAGACACCGCATTGCCGGCTCCTCTTGCTGCTGGAGGAGTCCAGGTCAGGCATTCGGCTGCACAATCGCTACATTAAACGCTACTTAACAGCAAGCAGAGGTGGCAAAATTTCTCACACCATACTATAGTAGAGGTACTGAAAAAAAAAATGTTGTAAAAGATCATCAGAAAAATGACTACCCAAGTATAGAACAGATACCTGCACTCATTTTGGGTTAAAAAAATGCAATATGGGTCAAAAAAGAATTGACCCAACTCATATAACCCAAAACGTTGGATCAAAATTAATGATCCACCAAATAACCCCCAAATTGTTTGTTTTGTACAAAAGCCAAAAGACTCGGTTGTATTTGGACAAAACAGGTTGGTTTGTCTGTTTTTCATTAGACCCAACTTCCAAGGTTAAATGAAACCCAAAAAGTAGTGTTGGTCCCTTTTTGGGATATTTTTGACCCATCTGTTGAAAAATCTACTAAAATACATGTAGGATTAGTACTACATGACTTCCCACCACTGACAGCAAGTATGTAAAGGACGCGGAAGCCCTAGCGGGCATGTGCATGCTTGACTGTCGTGCGTTTCTATACGCATATTTGTGTGAGACTGGCACCAGGCAGCCGGCGGTGTTAAGGCAACGGTCTTGCTCGGGGTGGATACTTGGCACTGTGACACAAACACATGCACACAATCCACCTTATTCCCTTTCATACTCTAATTCTGTCCTCGAGCGTGCACTTGGGTTGAACTGTAAAAAGCAGTGTAGCCTCCGATGTAATTAAACTGCAAAAATGTAGCATGTCCAGACAATCTCACTGTAGTCAGAGAAATTTTTCAGTTTAATGTGTGACTGTAGTTCCCGTGCATCTTATGTCCACTCAAAACATCTCTCAATCTAACAGAGGAGTCATTAAAAAAAAAAAAACAACACACATACACACACACACACACAAAGGCAAGAAGACATCATGCATTTTCAAAGTGGCGTTTGCAGTTTTCAAACTACAAACAAGATTTGAATGTTGCCTCACTTCACTCCCCCATCGAGTCTCTGACCAAAGCCACACCCCTCACTAACGTCAAATGGTTTCGAAAATTTGGTGGTATTTTATCAGTTTGCTGGGCAATTTACTCACTCCCTGGCTTCTCTCCATCTAATTTTTCACCCCTGTAAAGGAAGCGGCAGCTGCAGTTCCTGTTGGAGGGGCGCGGCCGGCGTGCCGGGCTCAGCCCGGAGGAGCTGCGGGACAACGGGAAGCTGGTGGGTGAAGGCCTTAGCCGAGCGCTGTTCAACTACCCCAGCCGGGACGGCAGCACGGACAGCCCGCAGGTTAGCATATATGTTGAGATACGCCATCCTTTGACCGGTTTGTAATTCATATTTAATCGCGAACTTTTTTTCAAAAGAGGCTTCAAGCTCATTATTGCCATTCCCAGTCGAGGTTTACTGTCAAATTTAACATAAAACCAAGAAAATTACTTACGCCTTGTGCTTTAAAAACAACGATAGCTTAGCCTTTCAGTCCACCAGTTTAATGCTAATGCTAATCAGCGGCTTCAATGTGGCAGAGCTTTAACCCTTTCAGCAATTAATTGAAACCAAGCAGTATATATACAAAAAAACGCTCCTTTATTATTTTCATGAAAGGAGCAAATTAAGAAAATTAAAATGATATTGTGCGTCACAGGAGGGCACCACAGAGGCGTCGGAGCGCACCGCCACTGTGGACCTCTACCTTCAGGTTTGTGTGAGACTGGCACCAGGCAGCCGGCGGTGTTAAGGCAACGGTCTTGCTCGGGGTGGATACTTGGCACTGTGACACAAACACATGCACACAATCCACTTTATTCCCTTTCATACTCTAATTCTGTCCTCGAGCGTGCACTTGGGTTGAACTGTAAAAAGCAGTGTAGCCTCCGATGTAATTAAACTGCAAAAATGTAGCATGTCCAGACAATCTCACTGTAGTCAGAGAAATTTTTCAGTTTAATGTGTGACTGTAGTTCCCGTGCATCTTATGTCCACTCAAAACATCTCTCAATCTAACAGAGGAGTCATTAAAAAAAAAAAAACAACACACATACACACACACACACACAAAGGCAAGAAGACATCATGCATTTTCAAAGTGGCGTTTGCAGTTTTCAAACTACAAACAAGATTTGAATGTTGCCTCACTTCACTCCCCCATCGAGTCTCTGACCAAAGCCACACCCCTCACTAACGTCAAATGGTTTCGAAAATTTGGTGGTATTTTATCAGTTTGCTGGGCAATTTACTCACTCCCTGGCTTCTCTCCATCTAATTTTTCACCCCTGTAAAGGAAGCGGCAGCTGCAGTTCCTGTTGGAGGGGCGCGGCCGGCGTGCCGGGCTCAGCCCGGAGGAGCTGCGGGACAACGGGAAGCTGGTGGGTGAAGGCCTTAGCCGAGCGCTGTTCAACTACCCCAGCCGGGACGGCAGCACGGACAGCCCGCAGGTTAGCATATATGTTGAGATACGCCATCCTTTGACCGGTTTGTAATTCATATTTAATCGCGAACTTTTTTTCAAAAGAGGCTTCAAGCTCATTATTGCCATTCCCAGTCGAGGTTTACTGTCAAATTTAACATAAAACCAAGAAAATTACTTACGCCTTGTGCTTTAAAAACAACGATAGCTTAGCCTTTCAGTCCACCAGTTTAATGCTAATGCTAATCAGCGGCTTCAATGTGGCAGAGCTTTAACCCTTTCAGCAATTAATTGAAACCAAGCAGTATATATACAAAAAAACGCTCCTTTATTATTTTCATGAAAGGAGCAAATTAAGAAAATTAAAATGATATTGTGCGTCACAGGAGGGCACCACAGAGGCGTCGGAGCGCACCGCCACTGTGGACCTCTACCTTCAGGATCTGGTGCGCCAGGCATCCGAGACCAATGTGAAGGGCGAGGCCCTGCACTGCCTGTGGCCTGCCATGTTCGCAGAAATGGTTCGCGACTGCGTGCTGGAGATGAGCGACCGAGCGGCCTTCCGCCAAGCCAGCCTTGCCAAGCTGTCCAAGTGAATGAGGACAGCATCTCGAGCAGTCACCACACATACACACGCGCCCATGTCTGGACGTTTTCACAAGCACCTTCTCCACGTGGACCACTTTAAGGACTTGTTGATTGAATGTAGTTGGGACAGCTTTGAAATGACCATAATCTGTTTTGAATGACCTTTGCCGTGTCTTAAACCTCATATATGTTCATCCCTCTTGTGTCTTGCCTGATAAAAGATGGAAGGTCACAAATCAAGATTTTGTTTTACAAACACCGGATTCCTCTATTGTACTGTATTAAAAGATTCTCTATTAACACACTCATTGGTGTATCTGTCTGTGTTTTACGCCTAACGCTGTTCACCCCTGGTGACATTTTACGTTTTAAAAATATTTTTGTATCACTTGATTGCAAATAAATGTTGTGTATTATACATGCATTTTCTGAAGCAACTTTAATGCAGCATGTATTTTTATTTTAATTTTTTTCTGTCATCACTATTATTATTGTTGGTTGTTGTTTTTGTCTGCGAACATTCTTCCGCATGTCTTGAGATGGAGGTGCCTCTGGTGTCACTAACCGAGGTCATGTGTACATATTGCAGTGGCCGATGAGTGAGTACACGAATTCAGCTTGCCAATTGCAGCATCCACAAGAGAATTCAAAGGGTGCGGATGGTTGTATTCCAGCAGGGGGGGACAAAAGAGTCACTTTTCCTAACCGCGTGCGGTTCACAACAAGTCCTTCACATTCAGTTTCTTCTGTGCGTAAAAGTCGCAAGCACCGGAGCACGGCGGGATGACTTTTAGCTGTTCTGTGGAACTCCTCTTTTTAACGTGACTCGGAGTTTGAATTCCAGGATGTTTGTTTCACACGATTCGACAGGTGGATGTGGAAGTGAAAAGCGAGGGGGAAAAGTGGAATATGTGTTTTGCAGCTGCGCGAAAGTGGCGTTCATGGAGACTGCGGATTGGAACATGTTGCCTTAGAAGTCCACTGGAGATCAAGTGTACCAGGATCACTCAAGGTAAGTCTTCAACTGTTATCTTTTGTTGTGTTTATTATTGAACGCGCTGGGTTTATTATGATCTTCCCATTCCCTGTCTTCATTGCAAAATGTGGAGAAAAGAGCAGTTAAATTACACGTCGTTTTTCAAACCGTATTTTAAAAAACGGCTTGAAGACAACTGAATTAATGAATAACAATTATTTGGCTTTATTACCTCCCACCCGGATTTTTTTTTCTTTCCAAAGGCACATAGTCGTTTTGATGTAGTTATAGAGTATTTATTGTAGTTTAAAAATATAAATCAATATAAATAATGAGGAAATGTAATGCGTACAAATAGACTTTAGCTAAGGCTGCTATGGTAGCATGGTTTACTCATGTTCTAAAGTTGCCAAACATGGAATGCTACTGGTTTTATGTTGTATTTTTTTTTTGGAATGGTCAGTCAATTAAATGTAGAGGAGAGGTGGTAACTTACCTGACGACCTGGTGAGAGCGACGACTTTGGCAGTAGGTTTCCATAGAAAATCCATTTTACATACTGTACACGTTCGTACTGTGAGAGTGTTAATTTGTACTGCAAATTTTAATCCAGATGATCCACATTCCACATTAAATTCAAATTGTACGCATTTAAGATGTTGGATGCGGCACTATCAAATCAGCTTGTATTTTGTTGTGCTCTTGTACGATCTTGTCGCATGTTCACTTGGATGTGATTACATTCAGAATGAAACTAAGTTCAATGTTTGAGCACGTCTAATTAGTCATTTCCCATTCATGTGTGATCATCATCCAGCAAGAATGCCAGGAGTCGACACGTGGATTGTCAGGTACTGTTTCCTTAAAGGGGCACCATTGTTGCATTGTGTTGTTTGCCTGGAACTAATCCCTTCAACCGGCTCGCTCTGTAGGGATGTGGTACTGTTTTTACTTCTCTTGGAGGCTGTGAGGTGTCAACACGCCGCACATCACAGAAAGGTGAGCGGGACCGAGGTTGCACCCAAGTCCAAACACGTGCCATCCACACACAAACACACCTCGGCGCTGCTCGTATCATCATAATCACGTCTTTGTTCGTCAAATGCCTCAGAGTGAGAGGACTCTCCTTTTTCCTGCTTCCCGACAAGTGTGGAAAGCTAATAGGAACGCTCCCAACAAAACGTAGGTGCTGAAGCTATTGTGTCAACAAACTGCCACGAAATCAACACAAGGGCTAACTGGAGGTTCTGGAAGAACTTGAGCACCTGGTCACTGTCTTTACGTTTTTGTTTTTTTTACATTTGTAACCGTCACACAACTGTATAAATAAGTTGCAATTCCTACACCGTCTTTACGTTTTGTTTTGTTTTTTAACATCCGTAACCATCACACAACTGTATAAATAAGTTGCAATTCCTACACTACGGTTTTCATAATGTTTGCAGATGATGTTGTTATCAAATTACGCTAAACTTGTCTTTGAATATTTAAAACAACAAAGGGAGACAGAGGCAAAACTGAGAAGGGCTGTAAGCAAACAGACTTCAATTAAGCAACCAAAACTTGACTTCAAACTTGAACTGCACCACTTTTTTAGCGGCATTTTGATGAGTTCTGCTACTAAAAAGGTCCACCTGAGGAAATCTCATTGTTGTTCTCAATAAGGTCCCCCAGAGGGCAGGGCCCCTGCTAGTCTCTGAAGCAGACAGTGGAGGAATCCAAGGGTCCTGGGGTTCCTGGGGGCCCTGGTCGGCCTGTTCCCTGACATGTGGAGGTGGCGTGCAGGAGCAGAGTAGACCATGTCTGAAGGTCTACCTTCCCCTGCGTCCAGGCCTCGTCATCTCAGCCTTGAGGCCTTCAGTTTCCATCTATCAGGATGGCAGCCGTCATGAAGGCAATAGGAGACCATCTGGTGGACGCAGGTACTCCTGTCTTGTGAACATCAAAGACAATTTAAAACTTTGTTGCACCTTACAATGTGTGATGTGTTAGGTTTTCATCAACATCACAGTGAGTATTCAAGAAACCTAAAATCAAAGATGATTTACTCTTTTGTCAAAATGAACATCCGTGTTTTTGTGAACATCAAAAACAGTTAAGAGTCTTCAACAAATCTAATTTAGGTCTTTTTTTTTTTTTTTTTTGAACCATCAAAGAGAATTAAGTGTCTTAAATAAACGTAACTGGCCCGGTCTCTGAGCCAAGTTCTTTGACTGAGCCAAGGCCACCCTCTTAAATGCCAAATTCTGCATGCACTAGACCATCAAGAAGCAGCCAACAGCCAAAAGCTGTTTTCCCAATCGCTTATAACAGTTACGTGTTCTCTGGTCTTTTGGGGAGTAACGTCCGTGCTTCATGCTGACCAGTCGGCTCCAAAAGTGACTCTGTATGGCTGTTGCTCTGGGCCGCGGGACGGACCACCCCCCCCCCCCCCCCCCCCCCACCCCCCCCCCCTCCTCACTTGCCCTCTTCTTTCCTTTGCAAAGCTCCTCTTTCAAGGCAGTCCAGGACTCAGACGGTGCTTGGCAGCTTTGGGATCTGCAGTCCTTCCTGTTGAAACAAGGGACTTTATTGGCTCCGAAATTAGAGACGTTTCTTTTTTTTTTAAGTTTATCGCTGCAGAACCGCAACCCGAAGGTGTATATTACCCCAAAACTACATTTAGGAACTGAGATATTAGAACTTAGGTTGTAAATAGAGGTCGGTTCTTCTGATGGATAGCTTTTAGGCCAGCAGAGAAGGCCTTGCTGACCACTTGCCTAAATGACTTCAGGAGGATCAGTGCCATCGTCCCGGGCAGGTACGGCTATGGAAGAGCTCCGTCGCAGGCTTCCGGAAGTGTCCGGCAGTTTCAACCTGACAGACAGAGACGGTCCGCTGTCCCCCTTCACGATGGCTTCCGGTCCCACCACGGACCTCACACGGAGAGCCACTGGGCGCCCCTCTACCAGCCGGGCCAGATGGAGTTTCCCTCGAGCGGGCAGGGTTCCCGATCCCAGGAGCCGCAGCAACAACTGGAGCGACCCTACCAACCTCTCCCGGCTTCGTCTTGTGCGGGAGAAGTCAGTCGCCACAGAATCTGCGAGCGTGAGGTACCAATGGCCAACTGAATAAACTCATATCATGTTTTAACTTCGATATTATATGTAGCGCCTTGTCCCCATTTTAGAGCATTCAGCAGCATTTTACACCGTTTACATTCTTTTTTTTTTTTTTTTTTGCCATCCTGCCTGAATTGGTGCTGAAATAAATACTGACGGATAAAAATAATCATTTCAATCAATGTTTTATCTTGTTGAGTGTATGTATATAAGTTCGTTTTGGATTGCATTATTTTACACTGTCATCTGGAATCTCTGTAAAAATAGACAATGAACTTGAAAAGTCTTGTGGTTTAAATTTCCCACATTTCATCAACATTCAGAAGTTTTAGATTTAGGTCTTAAAAAAGGAATTTAGGTCTGAAATATTCAGATCTAGTGTGGGTTTTCTCCGGGTACTCCGGTTTCCTCCCACATCCCAAAAACTTGCATGGCAGGCTGGTTGATCACTCAAAATTGTCCCATGGTGCGAGTGTGAGCACGGATGGTTGTTCGTTTGTGTGTGCCCTGCGGTTGGCAACCAGCTCAGGGTGTCCCCCCGCCTACTGCCCGAAGACGGCCGGGATAGGTTCCGGCACCCTCCGCGACCCTGGTGACCTAATGATGTGACCAGTGAGTGTTGACTTCCTGCAGTTTTTTTCCCAGAGCTTCCCCCTCTAAAATGACTCAGTGAACTCTTTGAAATGTAACACGCCCCTACGGTTCTGCATAACATCACGAGCGTAAAGTAAATCAGAGCTGACGATTGTTTAAATTGAGGAGTCGGCGGGTCTTCTTTCTAACAGCAAACTGATCGACGAGTAACTTTTGCCTCCCCTTCTTCCTGCTTGATGAATTAAGTATTTTTTTTTTTTTCCGCGTGTATACATAACCTTGGCGTACCCCTTTGGAAGTAAACAGCAGGTCCTTGTAAATCTGTGTGTGTGTATTTAAAGTAATGATCTAGTGAAGAAGAAATATTAGCGTTATCCCATCCAGAAGGTGGGTTTTCCAATCCATTTTCACCATGTCTTCACCTCATGCCACCCCATAAACTGCGGTTTTATTATTATTATGATTATTATTATTATTATTATGAATGATGTTATCATGTGTTTTTAGGCTTGTCCCGCATCCAGCAAACCCATCAGAGCGGCTCAGTGTGCCACACACGACAAGAAGCCTTTCATGGGTAGACTGTATGGTTGGGAGCCTTTCAGCGAAGGTACCACGGTGTGCATGTAAAAATAAAATTTAAACAACATGAATGTGCTCATGTGGAAGTCACGTATCATAATTGTAGTGAAACACCCACTATTTGCTAGAAATAAGGGGCTGGGAACTACTGAATTGTGAAAATGCGCCAATAATTGCCTACCTAAAGCGGTTTGTGATTGATAAAAGATGCCTTAGATGTTGGCAACACACTTACAGCGGAGGGGATTATAAATCATCAAAACCATTTATCTAGTGTGTACATAAGCATGAACCCACGTTACAGTACAGTGCAGAACACATTTCTGTCCATTTATGATGAGTTAACAGCTGTATCTTACTCTTTTTTTAATAATAATTTCAACAATAAATTCATCCATATCATTTACGCCATCAAAGAATTAAACACAAGAACAACACCAAAATTCCACTAGATGGCGCCAAAGTAATACTTGTTTTTTCGGTATGACAGTCCTGTATAAAACATTTTCCAGCATTCGACTTGAACATTTTCCTAAGTCTCTGTCCCAACTGCGCATGAGTTTCCCTTTCTCGATTTGTGATGTGTTGTGAGCACAAAAAACAGCAGAGGAGGAAAGGTTGCAGAGGAAATCTGAAACTATGTGATTGTTGCCGAATATCAAGCCGAAAATATGCTTGGCATTCGTGTATGAAGACGATGTACGGAAGTATGAATTTTTATCATATAAAACTATAGATATAGTTGTGGAGCGTGAATTGCCGCCCAGACTAGGTTTCAAATGTAAATTTTCCATGTTTTTTTAGTTGCGGGAGACCAGGACTGCGAGCTCAACTGTCGAGCTGCCGGCTTTAGGTTCTACGTGCGACTATCTGACAAGGTGATTGATGGCACGCCATGCGGACCCAACAATTCTTCTGTGTGTGTAGCAGGAAAGTGCACGGTAAGATCACCTGACTTTATTTTATTTTATTATTATATTATTTTTTTTAATGGTCTTGATTTGAAAAGTGTTGGACATTGTATCAAAAATGAAGGTGTCAGGACGGGGTGTTGATTGTGGCCACAAGGGGGCAGGATAGTTTAAGATGATTCCTTTGGAGTGAAGCTGAGGTCCATAGGAAGTTTACCGTGTTTCAATCCAAGTGGCTGAAACACACCTGCCACATTTGGCGCGGCACTTCGTTGCGTGGGAGCAAACTCACAACATGAATGTTGTGATACACAGTGGTGCGTTCACATCTGCACCATCTTCACACTTATTCTCATTTTTCCCTCATCACGCCTTTTGATCCTCTCAGCTGCTTGAGCCATGCTGCTCGGAAACATCCCCCATTGACTGGCGATAACCTCAAAACATCTGCTGGAATGCGACTGTTCGGCTCATTTCAAATCCAACACTAAACTTTAATTATTTTCTTTGAAGGAACTGTTAGGGTAGCTAGACAAAGGGAGAGTATAATAAATCCAGAATTAAGGTACAGCAAAAAGCAAACATAATGTTTGTATAATGTCATGAGTCCTATGAAGTCTGCCTAGCAACAAACGATGCAACCAAGAAAACAATGGAACAGCTGTGTGCTTGTCCTATTGACTGCGATGCATTTCTGTAAAATGATAAAGGGGGAAAAAAAACACAAACATGAGTCCTCGCCTCAGCCATGCCAGTTTATCTATCTATCTATCTATCTATCTATCTATCTATCTATCTATCTATCTATCTATCCATCCATCCTGTATGTTAGGAGTGACTCAGTCACTTGAAAACAGTCTCAGAAAGAGAATCCAGTCACGCACAATACCTCATAGTTACGAGGCCGTGGTTTTTCCATGCAAATATTTCTCTAAATGCCTCAGTGGGCTCCCAATTCCCCTTTAACCGTCCGCTCACTCTCGCTTCTAAAAAAGCCCCCGCAAACCCTCATCTCCCTCACCCCTCCTCTGCACCTCCTCCCGGCTCTCTTTTACAAGTAAGAGCTCGTAAGGGATGGTCGGTGGCGTTTTTGGGGCTTGAGAGCGAGCGTTTTGTAAGATTTTGGGGAGAATGCTGCTAGTGCCGAGCCTGCTGCTCCTGGCGTGCCTCCACGTGCAGGGGAAGCCAAGGTCTCAGGTAGGACCTGCTTTTTGCATTACCTGTCAGAAGGTAGGAAGAACTAGACCAACCCGTTGTGATGTTTCAGTTGCCTTGGGTTAACTGGATGTCAGAGTAGCTCCAGTGCAGGTTTTCTGGTTTGGTCCACAACTTGGTCTTTACTAGTCTTGCTCTCGTAGACGTTATGAAGGTGTAGAAGTGGAGGTGGCTCTGTTAGGACGAGCTGGAATTAGCATGTCACCGCCATTTTAGCTCAGCTCTGCTTGACTGATGATGTGAAGTGCCTGGGGTCGTTCATGCAAGTGTGACCCCCCATCCACCACCTACTCAGTGGTCGTAAATCAGAAGCTACTTGTAGTTGGAGCGTATTGGAATGAAGTCTTAATCTCAGAGATGCACTAATAGTATGAGGACACTACTACAGGTTAATCAAGATTTTGATTTTAATATTGTGAAAATTAGATCAAAATATTACAATAATAAAGATGAGAGAAAAATATTTTAGGACAATAGTTCAAGAAAAACACCAAACTTTGGTTTTTGTATATTGCAGATTTTGTGGAACGTATTCTCCAATGTAAAAGGGGGTCGCAGTATTGTTATATCAACAACACATGCTGAGAGGCAAGTGTGTCATTGTCACAATGACAAGCAAAAATTTTGCTTCAAGATCACCGGCTATCCCGGCATGTGGGCGGCACATACACATTGAACGCAACCTTCCATTTAAGTTGACTTCCAGATTCAGCATCCCGTCAAGTCATCACTATACATTCCTCGATGTTGGCTGGATATTCTCAAAAGAACGTTTATGGCATTTCCAGATGCTATGTCAACGCTCGCAAGAAAACATTTGATCTTATTTGTGTTTGTGCGTGTGAAGAGCTCTTCGGATCACAGCGTGTCCATAGAAAAATTCGCCTTTCACCCCTTGCTCGGAAATAGGTCTTAAAGTACAGTATTGCTCTGTGGCTCTATTCTGTTTGGGCTTCACAGCATCATCTTACGTTTTTTTCCCTTGATAATTAGATTACCTTAATGTTCATTATTAAGACTTGCTTGCAGTGTATCCTGGTTCCATCCCAATAAATCCGACTGAAACCAATAGGGTACATGTCGATGGGAAAGTAAAACTAGTTGGATGAATTCATTTCACTGTAAAACACACAAAGGCCAAAATATGAAGTCCATTAAAAAAAAAACAACAACTAAATAGATAACACCAAACGGTGAATTCATTTAAAAATGTGTGAGTTCAAAAAATGCAGTCAATTAAAATAAGAGGTAAAACAAATCAATAAAACCAATAGATACAACATAAATTAAAAGCAGAAGAAATAAATCTGCAGTAAAAAGACTCTTGAACCAGTGCTGAAATCTTTTTCTTTTTCCAATAACTCCAAGAAAGGGACACCTAATAATGGGTCCAGTGGTTCAAGAAAAAAAAAAAAAAATTCGTTTTGCTTCCAGATTCTTCCACTTAGTAGTCCTTGATTCACCACAGCAGAGCGAATAGCTTCATATTTTCAAGTCGAACGCTGTCTGCAGTTAGCTGGTGCAAACTTTTAGACTTGCTTGAAGCACGGTGAATACGCGTTGCTTTAAGGCACACAAGTGGCAGACTCCGAATGCTAATGCTAACTAACAAGGGTAAGAACAAATCCAGGTCACGCTAACGTTAGCTCTGGTGTCCGTGCTTAGCTACATGTTTTGTTTTAAGTTTCCTTTTCGCCTGAAGTGTTGAAATAGTCTTGAAAATGCAATTAAATGCCCCACTTTTGCTGTATTTAATTGAAATTAATGTGTTTTTAACATCGTCCCCTGCTTGAAATAAAAGCTACTAGTTTTGGGAAGGAAAGTGTTTTGCACCAAGATACATATTGTCCTTCATAGTTTGTATTTTAATTAAACTAAAAACCTTACAATGACTGCTGGTATAATATGTTTGTTTTAAGGACTTTACACTATATAAACCACAAAGCTTGGTTGGTTGTGGAATTTAGGTTTGCTGAGATAGGATTGCTGTAATCCTTCGTCTGAATGTCAGAGTGCTTAACTCTGCTATTATTGTTTGAAGAGTATATAAGCACCTGAGGCCCAAGCGTCTGCGAAACTGCAATATTTGGTATGAATGCTAACAAGTAAATTCCAGAGCCAGTATCGTCCATTCCAGTAATTCAAATCCTTTTTTTTCCTCCATGAATATTGAATATCAATACCGGTTGGTATCAATATTTGGATCAAACTTCCACATGGTACTAAGAGGTACCGTGTGGGAAAAATACCGGCAGGATTTAGTTTTAAGACCCTCTTGTTTTCAGACTCGACTCCGCTGGTAACCACTTCCAGATGAAGGTGGGCTTCAATGCCGCTTTCAACAATCGCATTGAAACGAAACATGGTTTCGCCATGGTTTTCCTAGAGAAAGCATTCAGATGGCAGCAAGGAGCCAGAAAAGACTGAGAGAAAATAGAAAAAAAAAATACAATACCTTTAGGCGCAGCAAAGGTTTCTGTACAAAGTCACATTCTCGTGTCAGCTTTTTAAGGTTTTTACAGCCATTATCACCAAGAAATTGATACCCCCTCCAAAAGGTTTCTAACTGCCAATCCGTGCCACAAGACGGTGGCAAGCAATTACTTTTATCTCACTGATACTTTTCAACTCACTTCAATCTACTGTCGCGTTCAATCTACCTAAAGTATAGTTGTTCAGCATCTATACTACCGATGTAATTGAACTTATTTTAAACAGCACAAGTTTATTGACGTCTTCTTTGTTGCTCGCAAAGCAACCTCTATCATCTAGCATAATTTTTTTCAGGCTTGAATTCTGTGTCCAACAAAGTAAACATTTCTCATTGACGCTTTTGAATGCTTCACTGACATCTTCATTAAAGTGGCCGTGTCGTGCTATGTTTCACTCATGGGCACCAGCAGCTGAAGGATGAGAGCGCGTCCATTTCCTCACATTTTATTCAGCCTCGGCAGACGGCGACACTCAAATGAGCACTATTTTTTAAACATTTCTATTCACAGAAAAACTATTTTAAATAACTCACTTATTGACCTGATTCTGTGCTACTTCTTGATTGATATCAAGACTATGTTGAAGCTTTGCATGTTGTGAGAGAAATTGAGCTTGGGTATACATACTCCACATGAACCGATGATATGCAAGCGACTCAGATGTACTCATTTCTAAGCCAAACAGAATGGCACGGCACCCTGACATTAAAAACGGATTAAAAGCATATATCAGCATTCTTTTCACACACATATTTGGCCGTAATGAGCGTTGCATTTGCAGCTTAGATAGACATATTAGCCATTTTAACCCATTCATTAGGGGCAAGTCATTAAATTACTAAATGGAGCGCAAAATATGAATTTTAATAAGCTGTTCCTGATGGGTATCACTTTCGGTGTGAAAACGGGCTTACTTTCTGACCTGATGTTTGAAGCAATTCCTCCAGCGTTGGTGTTATTTTATCATTTAGAGAATATTTTTAAGATTTTGGAGGTAGTGAACGGCAGTTGCATTTGCATAAAGAACGTACGCCCCCTTCAGTGTGGCAAGAGTACTGTTTGCTTCACCCCGCTTTTCTCTTTAGTTTCGTATGATCAGCGGGACTAAAGATGCGACACACCGATATACATTGCACTAGCCTGACTGGAAAATTGGAGCCTCCACCCAGCTAATGAGGGATTGCGCAATCTGAGGTGAGGTGAGACTGCTTGCTGCAGCACTTCACGTCTCGTCCATGCTTTGAAACACGAAACACACAAATTTGCAGATGAAATAGGGGACACCCTTGGATTCAAAGGGCACAGACCGGAGAACCAAACTTGAAAAGAATCGTATTTAATTTTTTTAAGTTTGACTTCTCAAGATGCAGATGATACTTTGTCTCCTCTGACCCATTGCAGGTTGACATTGTTTTTGTTCTGATGTCTTCGAGCATGACCTTTTTACAATTTTTTTTACCATGAGCAAGATAATACATGTCTCGAATGTCGAATCCTTCAGCTGCTAAGCTACGACTCTATCATGTCGCGGTCACAAAAGTTGAAAAGTTGAGGCATCTGTTTCAACATGATTTTCAGACTTTATGAGTCTTCCCGTAAGGCGCCTCACATGTTTTTGCTTTCGTGGTTGAATGAGATTTCATCGACGAGTCTGATTATGGATCCATAAATCAGGCCGCGTTTCCATAGAGATGCGTTGTTGCCGTCGGAGTGGCCGTGGATGACCTCGTGTCAGCGTTTGTTTTATGGGGGGAGCGTTTGACTACTGTGATGGTGTCGTGTGAGGTGTGATGGATTTTACGCTGACACGGTTGAGCCGTTTAATGCTCGCCATGTCACTAGCAGCTCTTCATTGCTGTGTTTTTATTCTTTTTTCCACTGGGGGACTTTTTATTTGTTGGATGATATGCTCATTGGAAACATTCAATAGAAATGGACTGACATGTCTTTTAGGTAGAACCCAGTGATTGCCTCAACTGTTTTTGTGCTTTGACAAAGTGACGCGGCATCCCGCAATCAGATAATTAGATGACACACCAATGTCCTGACATTTTGTTTCACACAGAGATCCTGCAAAGTTGTCTTATCAAAGCCTTAAAAGTTGAAACGAAATTCATCTTCCTTTGCTCCTGCAAAACTGTGGAAAGAAGATCAAGACTGGGCAATTATCCGCCTTTGTTTGTTTACACCGAACCCAGTAAACGTTGAATATTGCCGCAACTGTGTGCACTTTTACACAGTGACACAGTATCCTGCCATCAGTGACATGACGTCAGCTCCAGTGTCTGTTGTGACAGAGCTGACTTCAGTTCTGTTGGCAGCTTATTCCATTCGTCTGCAGCATAACAGCTAATTGCCTATTCACCATATTTGCTTTGAACGCTGGGCTTTTTTTTTTTTTTTTCACATGAACTAGCTGTCTAACACTCCTCTCTTGGTGAACCTCACAGAATCCAGGCTGTGATGGCTTCCTGGGCTCCGGGAAGGTGATGGACAAGTGCGGCGTGTGCGGCGGTGACAACGCTACCTGCCGACTCGTTTCGGGAGTCTTCCGCCACTCTCTGACCAAGATCGGCTACCATAAGATCGCTGAGATTCCACCAGGAGCCACCAAGATCAACGTCACGGAGATGGCCAAGAGCCGCAATTACCTTGGTGGGAATTAAAAAAAAAAAAAAAAAATCCCAACAACAAAGAAAAAGTCCAGACTTTTTTGTGTAGAGTGTAAAAACAATAGTAGCATTTTAGTCTTTATAACTGACATACGAATACGAAAAGAAGGCAACCATATTTACTATCTAATTGAAAATAAACTAAATAATAGCACAAAAAGCCAAAGAAAAATATCAGCATGTTTTTTTTCTGTAATATGTTCTAAGTGGCCCCATTGGTCTAAACACTTTCGGATTCAGATTGCGTTTGCGGAACATGAATTAAAGCAGACGAAAAAACACGTTTTTATCCATCTCTGGTGGGGCGGTCATTTTGCCACTTGCTGTCCACTGAAAGTGACATCACAGCTCACCTGTTTTCTGAGTTTGGTTATGTGACGTTCGCAAGCTGAGCCATTACTTGCTTTGATAAACCAATAATCCGTTTAATGTTTTTAACCGGTGTTCACCATTTTCTCAAGCAGCTATTGGAATGTAATTTAATGAGAGCCAGAACCCAGTTTAATGGTAAAACCCTAAAACCTGCACCGCGACCCCTCCCTCGATGAAAGTGCACACTTTGAATAAAACCACAAGCACTCTTTTTTTTTCTTTAATTAAGTTCGAAGTTCTTTGTGAATCAGAATCTACAAAGTTCAAGGTTTCTGTCATGGGAGTTCACCACAGCAGGCTGGACTACATGTGATCTCATTATAAAAGCGAGGCGAAGCAGCATGTGGCTTATTCAAGTAAACAATGATATGTTAGTGATGATGAAGTTTGCAACCTTCTGTGTGAAATTTATGAAACGTATGTATTCCCACTCAAGTAATATAGAACAACCTTATGTATATATACTAACGTATGTATTCCCACTCAAGTAATATAGAACAACCGGGTTTATAATGGATTTTTCATGAACAAACACATCCCACGTATTCCCTCAGAGGGTTTCTTTTTTTTTGGGTCCTAATGTGCTTCCACTTGATCCAAACCGTCTTTTACAAGTCTAAAGTTACCCTCTTAATGGATTTTTAATGTTCTCTTTTCCTTAATCCACTGAGCCTTGTGGCCAAAAAGGTCTGCCAGTGAAACAGGATTGCGTTAGGTTTTCAAAGTTAGTCACGCACACCTCTGAAGTTGTGCCATTCAGCATCTGACCAATGTTTTCCTCGGAATTAAAGTCCCCAATGCTGCACATCTGGCTTATTCTTTGGCTATTTTTGTGACACTTACTCCAAAAGAAGAAGGAGCAGTCTCAATCAGTGCTGTTCACAAAAGTAAGAGTATATACTGTGATGTAATCGGACATCACTTGTTGTCATAGTTAACCTGGACTAATAGCAGTGGCGAGTATTGTTACTCAAGACGTTGTGCAATTCACATTTGCCAATTTACATGTACAGTTCTGAGGTTTTCAAGTTTAAAGTTTTTCAACTCATTTCTACACTTACAGTATATTATTGAAATCTAAAATAATATTGAACCTGCGCTTCGGGTTTGAATTTATATATCCAATGAATTGTGGCAAGCATTTTTCCCGTAAGAGACGATGCAGTTATTGATGACTGTGTTTCCTGCAGCACTCCAAAGCCGCTCTGGTCGGTCCATCGTCAATGGCAACTGGGCTATTGACCGGCCGGGCAAGTATGAGGGCGGGGGCACTATGTTCACTTACCGCCGACCCAATGAGATCAGCAGCACTGCTGGGGAGTCCCTCCTTGCCGAAGGGCCCACCAATGAGATCCTGGACATTTATGTGAGTTGAGAACGCAATTGCACATACGCTATTGCCATTCCTGGACAATTTTAATGGAGGTAATTCTCGCCTTCTCCCAGTTGATCTTCCAGCAGCCCAACCCAGGGGTTCACTACGAATACGTGGTCGCCTCTGAGTCACCGCAAGGTAAACAAGACCCTCAGAGCGAGCAGCAAGTGGGGCACGACGATTCCCAGCGGGCGAACTACGACCCGGCCGGCGAGGGGAGGTACCCGCCTCATCGTCACGACAACCAGCCGCCACGCCGCCAACGGGAATACGGCTGGAAGATGGCCGGCACCGGCGAGTGCAGCGCCTCCTGTGGTAAAGGTGAGATGACTCTTTTCATATTGAATTTGATGGTGTCTTTTCAGGGGTGGACCTTTTGTATCGTTTTGAATGTACATGTCCGGCTGGTCATTGCCATTTGTAGGTTTCAGGTATCCCATCTTCCACTGCATACACCGGCTGAAGCAGATCCAGGTCCAGGACGCTTTGTGCGATGACAGCAGTAAACCAGTGCCGCAGGAGGAAGCGTGCAACCTGCAAGCCTGTCCTGCATTGTGAGTCAATTGTGTCTTCATTTGTATTTTGTTTCTTCAAACATTGTATGTATTGTGACAAATTTATTTTTACACTGTACATGCAATATCACATTTATTATAACAAATGTATGTTGTAATATAATCTGTATTTAATTTGGTGAACAATATTCATGAAATGTACATATTTTATAACATTTATGATACATATCTTGTAGAATACCAACAGTGTATAATATTTGAATGAATCAATTTCTGTTTATTATTTTATTATTTATTTATTTTTCTATTCTATAATTTATATATATTATATAATATATATATAAATAAAAATGCAAACTACACTTACTGTATTATTTGAAGAAAAATATGAAAAAAATGAATATCAAAAAATAAAATTACTCTGTAAAAAATGAAGCTCTTCCTCCGAATAAATGCTTGGTCTTTTCTGTAGTTGAGTAAAACAGAATTCCTAGTTTGCGATTGATTCTTGCCTTTTGTCAGCTGGGACATCGGTGAGTGGTCGGAGTGCAGCAAGACGTGCGGTCTGGGCACGCAACAGCGTCAGATCCTGTGTCGCCAAACCTACGCCAACCGCACCCACAATGTGCACGTCAGCCGCTGCGGGCACCTGCAGCGGCCCGAGACCTCCGGCACCTGCCAGACCAAGATCTGCAGCGAGTGGCACATCCGCTCAGAATGGAGTGCCGTGAGTGTCAGCTGTCAGTCATGGCAAGGATGATTGATTGCATGCTTCATTCACTGTGGCAATTTGTGTCCCCGCAGTGCTCGGTGCCATGCGGACTGGGCCAGAGGTGGCGGGACGTCCGCTGCGTGAGCAACATCGGCGACAACGTCCCCGACACGGAGTGTAACATGAACCTGAGGCCGGCCCATGTGGAGAACTGCGACATGGGCGCCTGCGCCAAGAGCTGGTTCTACACAGACTGGGGCACCAAGGTATCACACACATGCAACCAGTATTTTAGTTCACTCTGACTCATCCCCTTCATCCCGGTCCATTTAAAATGAATACAAATGTCCCATGTAAAGTGTGAAATGGAAAGAACCCCTCTTCCCTTGCGAAAAGTCCACATTCTGGAAAACATCTGTGCGTGTGACTGATGAATGCACAATGCATGTACAGTCGATACTGTCTGTATTCGGCTGCACTTGCATGCAATCTGGTTGACTCAGGATAATACTTGGCCAACTATATTAAAGTTTCCTTCCTATTGTGAGCCGAGCTTCATTGTTGTACATTCTTGATTCATTCCCATGTATTCTCATTGAAAGTTTCCCCACAAGACACCATTTACCACCATTGAGTGGAAAAATGACTGATTTCATAATCAATGGATTTTAATTGCTTAAATTGATTTATTACTGGTAAGAGGATAGTTAAATTTGAAAATTCCCGCAATTTTGTATCCCCACGAGATACCATTTACCACCATTGAGTGGAAAAATGACTGATTTCATAATCAATGGATTTTAATTGCTTAAATTGATTTATTACTAAGTGAAAATTGCTTCATCATTCAGAAAGTACATTTTTATGATTGATACATTGAAATTCTTTTGTTTTGTTTTTTCCAACACAAAAAATGTTTCCCTCCCAAAAACACAAAAATCATGACTGAAAAAAAAAATCGGATTCTTTACATCCCATATGCTTTCATAGTTACCCTAATATACCCGCAGAGTAGATGAAGCATCTATAAATGTGATGTTTATGGTGAAATATAAATAGATAGCGACTTTTCTTGTAGTGTTCTGCTGAGTGCGGGATGGGCGTACGAACGCGAGATGTCTTGTGCTTGACCAATCACATCAGCAGCCTCCCTCTGGAGGGTTGCGGCAGCGAGCGACCTCCCGACTCTCAACTACGATGGAACTTTCCTGTACGACTGAGAGCCTCCACAAGCATCTTAATACAACAAAAATAGTCATAATAATAACAATTAAGTGAAAATTGCTTCATCATTCTGAAAGTACATTTTTATAATTGATTCATTGAAATTTTTTTGTTTTGTTTTTTCCAACACAAAAAATGTTTCCCTCCCAAAAACACAAAAATCATGACTGGAAAAAAAAAAAAAATCAGATTCTTTACATCCCATATGCTTTAGTAGTTACCCCAATATACCCGCAGAGTAGATGAAGCATCTATAAATGTTGAAATTTTTTTGTTTTGTTTTTTCCAACACAAAAAATGTTTCCCTCCCAAAAACACAAAAATCATGACTGGAAAAAAAAAAAAAATCAGATTCTTTACATCCCATATGCTTTAGTAGTTACCCCAATATACCCGCAGAGTAGATGAAGCATCTATAAATGTGATGTTTATGGTGAAATATAAATAGACAGCGACTTTTCTTGTAGTGTTCTGCTGAGTGCGGGATGGGCGTACGAACGCGAGATGTCTTGTGCTTGACCAATCACATCAGCAGCCTCCCTCTGGAGGGTTGCGGCAGCGAGCGACCTCCCGACTCTCAAGTGTGCGACACGGGCCCTTGCGACAATGCCATTGAGTGGTTCACCGGCCCCTGGAGCCAGGTATGAACACTCAACGAGGACGAACACGTGACTTTTCAAGCAACATTAAAGTTGCATGTGATTGTTTGCCAGTGTTCCGCAGAGTGCGGTGTGGGCAAGCAGGAGCGGGCGGTGGTGTGTCTCATGAGGTCCCGAGACACGGTTGCCGTGGCGCCCCAGTACGAGTGCTCGTCGCTGGAAAGACCGCTTAGCCAGCAGAGCTGCAACGTGAAAGCGTGCGGAGCAAAGTGGTACTACACGGAATGGAGCGCTGTGAGTGACGCCCCCTTGCGTACCATCACGCGGCATCATCATACACAACCTGGATCGTTTCCTCATTTACTAACAACTTCTTGTCAAAGAAGCCAAACCAAGGTAAAACAAATAGATGAAGAAAGTGAGAATGAAATAATCTGACCATCGGGACATGTTCAAGCAAGGCGTGCTCTCGAGTTAGCATCAATGGTGTCTTCAAATTTGGAAGCAGTCAATCGACCTTTTTAAAGGGTGAAATTCGGCACTTTGCCAGGTGGTGACATGGTGTGTAAACATGCGAACATGGACTTTGAAGCCCTAACCCTAGTTTAAAATCCTACTTTGAAACCGCAGCCCTAGTTTCCAACCCTCCTTTGAAATGAGCTGTATTTTAAACCCTACTTTGAAATCACAACCTTAGTTTAATTCCCTAATTTGAAACCTAGCCCTTATCCAAAACCCTACTTTGAAATCCTAACCTTAGTTTTAAACACTTGATATATCATTTTTACAGGCAGAAGTATTGCAGTTTCATGAAGGTGGATATTTCAAGCGTAAATGGAAAGGTTTATCAAATGTGTCTTTCGACTCCGCGTAGTGCTCCAAAACATGCGAGCGAGGATTCCGTGTGCGTGAGGTGCGCTGTCTTTCCGAAGATATGCAGTCCAGCACCAGCTGTGAGGAGCGGCTCAAACCGGCCGAACGGGAAGACTGCAACCCCGAACCTTGTGTATCTCAAATCGGTTGGTCTGAAAAACCGCACCAATTGCTTAGCTTGATTCCGACCCTGAGACTTGTGACATTTCCGTCGCAGACCAGCACTGCAAAGACGAGTACTTCAACTGCAACGTGGTGGTCCAGGCCCGCCTGTGCGTCTACGACTACTACAAGAAGACCTGCTGCGCATCCTGCTCTCGCCACCCCCACAGACACTCCGTGGTCCACAAGGGGCGCAGCTAACACTCATCGGGACAGGAAGTAAAAACATTTGCATGCGGCAAACAATGAAAATCCACTCAACAGATGGCACCAAGTTGAGGAAATGGCCTCTGTTAATCTATTCAAAAGTTCTGTCCACATTTGTCGGGTGCGTTCTTTAAGACCTTTTGCGGTCTGGGTCCTTCGAAGGCTCCTGCTCGTGTAGCTTGCGTGGACCGCATGAACTGTGGCGAATTAGGCCTAGCCAAGAAGAAGAACGCCGTAGAAGAAAAGCAGAGCAATGTAGACTACAAAAGTGTGCTTCGAAGCAAGCCTCAGGGCCCGTCTCCATTGTGAATTCGGACACTGGTGTGTGGTCGAGGCGCGTAGGAAATTATGCCTTTGACGGCTATCCAAATTCGTAGGCTGTGTAGCCTACAAATTTGCATACAGCCCATACAGCCAAAGGCGCATTTAAAAAAACTGGGGAATTTGGTTTTCCCCATTTATTTTTTTTTTTTTATTTAAACAACTAACTATAGCTCACTATTTAAAAAAACTATCTTACCTTTTTAACTGTTTGCCTGACAATCTAGCCATCTTACTTTCTAATCCCACCCTTATGTACATGTAAATTTAGTTGAAATGAAGCTTTGTGTGACAGCTGTCTGTTGGGCTACATTGATTGGTACTATGTACTTGGTTGGAACTCTGACTTTGATGCGCTTTAAAATGTGTGAAATTAAAAGTATGAATTTCCCAGTTTTCTTAAATGCAGCCTCTCTATCTTTAAACTGAACAGCAGAACATGAGTATTCATGGCTTGGCTGTAAATATGTAAGTTTGTTTAATTTAGTTTTTTTAAACTGACTGTTCAAGAACACAAATTATTTATGTATCTCATCCTGGAGAGGATGATGTTAAAAAAAATTATATATAATTTTTTTTCCCCATTGGCTTGTTCCATTGCACCCGAATCCTAATGTTTAATTTATGGTGGAAGGTCACAGCTCCATGGATTACCTCGCACATTTGCGCAATTACATTGCTCAGTTAATTTATTCATCAACCTTACACCACCCTCCGTTCTGAGCACACGTCATGTATATTGATACATCCAAACCCCCCCAACTAATTAACAGTTGTCCTTTAACTGTTTTAAATATATATTTTTTATATTTATTTTTGGGGGGGAGAAGCAGTTAAGTCAACCTGCATTTTTTGTGGAGAACACTTCATTTTTTATTCATTTAAAAACATTTTTGCATCAATTATACGCTGAGTTTCTCTATTTGTGGGCCGGGCAAGTCCCGAAACCCCCAGCAATAGCAGGGGTCCACTGTATTGGTATGACCTATAAAGTGCTTCCAATTTATCTGAAATTTCATCTTCAAAGATCACTCGTAAATTACTGACTAATTTACTGGTACTCTAAAAGATTGACGGGTTGACTAGCCAACTTACTAACCAACTTTTAAGTAATAGACTTACAAGCTAGTCATTAGCTAGCTAACTGACTAGCTTGTAAGTCTTCATCCCAACCACACAATCATCAGTATACGTTGCAATGCATTCACAAACCTATAAATGTGGTGGTTCTTAAAAAGAAAAAAAAATAAAATCAATCGGTATTTGAACACAGCTGTACTGTCTTTCAAAGAAACATTGCACTGCTCTGTTCAGGTATAAGGCAATGGCTGCATGGCTAAAAGAGCGGCATTTAGTGGCGGATGTAAGCAAGTGCACCCTCTAAATAATGGAGAACGTCAACTGCATTTGTTTGCAAAAATCACATTTTATTCAGTTATACTACATTTGTTTTTGTGTCATTTGAATACCTACTTCCTGAGGTGGTATTTTAAAACTGATTGATGTTACTTTTTTTTTAACTGCATCATGATCAAGCTTTTATGTGTTCATCTTGTGTTGGTTGATTGTTTAGTTTTGAATATGTCCAGAGAGTTGTGGTGGATCAAAATTTTTGGCTGCACACGAGCGGGCTGAAAGGTTTGTCTGAGTCGCTCATGAAGGCCTCAATCTCCTCCACGGTCCGTGGGACACAGGTAAGCAACTCAATGCCATCTGCAGTGACGGCGATGTCATCTTCAATGCGAACCTGCCAGGATGATTTCAATAGGACGCAATCAATAGAAACATAATTAACGTTTACACACAACATAACAATACACTAAAACTCAATAGGGTGCAGGCCAACAAAATGAAGGAATTCAGATTCTGGTGATGCCCTCAAATTTCTGGATATTTGACTGACTGGATTACTGACTAAGTAGCTAACAACGGTGTTACAATTTCAGAGATCTACTTAGCTGCCAAATTAGCTGATCAACGTACTTTCAATTTTTGACTAACTGAATAACTAATTAAGTTGCTAATGAAAGCAGAAAGTGGTTAAAGAATATGCCGAGCAATGACTTGACTGACACTTGACTTAACTAACAAACTAACATGCTAGCTCAATAATTACATACGCTTTTTTGAGTGAAATAAGCAATAATCAACATCCAAGCCCTTGCTGACCTTGGTATAGAGCGAATAAATACAGGCTATACTGACCCCGCCAAAGCCTCTGAAGCGACTGAGCACTTGGTTGTTGATGAAGCAGTTCTTCGTGGGGTCGGCCAGGGCCTGATCCAGCAGGTGGTTGATGAAGTAGATGCCAGGCTCCACGGTGAGCACCATGCGCTCCTGGACCAGGCGGCCCATCCGCAGACTCTTCAGCCCGGGCTCGTCGATGCGCTCCACTCCCTGCGGGACACCTACGTTACCGCACGATCCAACGGCTTCTCAGCATCCACCGAGGACTGCGCTCTCACCTCGGGATAACCGCCCACATCGTGCACGTCGATGCCCAACAGGTGACCCAGACCATGTGGCATGAAAACGGCGCCAAGGTGGACTTTCATCATGTCTTCCACGCTGCCCTGAAGAATGCCCACTTTCACCAGCTCCTCCAGGTGGACACGGTCAGCCAAACGGTGCATGTCGGTCCACTTCACACCTGGACATTTTTACATGGTTAACTATTCTGATTGGAAAATAATCATACCTTTTCCATATCAGTGATTATCATATTGGTATAATGAAACAAAAGTAATTGGTGAACACATGTAATTTGGTTGAAGAGACAAATAGACCACCTATACTCCTTTTAAAGAACTTAAAGAACACAATTTACTCAGGTGTTTTAAAGCCAACAGAAGTATTTTTACTGACTGACACACTAGCTAACTTCACCGAACTGACTGATTAAATATTGAGCTGCCAACTAACAAACTGACTGCGAGGAAGTAAATAATCGATGGACTAGGCAGTTAATATTTAATTCATTTGAATCCTAGACAACTATCAAACTTGTTTGCTCACAAACACAGTGCCGTTTTCTAATGTTGACAGTCGTCATAGTATCACCTGGTCTGATGGCGGCCATGACCGCTCTGGATGCCTTTAGGACTGCCTCGTAGATGGCCCTCTGGTCAGCGGTGAACTTGCCATTGGCGGGGAAGGAGCATGTGATGTCTGACGAGTAGCAGTAGTACTCGCCACCCATGTCGAACAAACTGCAGGAGGGAACACCCCCCCCCCCCCAAAAAAAAAATATCTTTCAATTTGTTAGGATTTTAAATCTGTTTTCTTGTAAGGAATAATAGAAATATAACTCATCCCTCCAAGTGTCCAAGTGTCACCATCATAAGACTTAAATAGTACACGGATGTTTCGGACAATTCAGATATTTAGTTCTGAAGGTCTAAAAAAAAAGAATAAACATTTTAGCACTCACCACATGTCGCCGTCCATTATGGTTTTATCGTTGGGAGCCCCAGCGTGACCGTAATGCAGGACAGAGGCATTATTGCCCCTGTGGGTCACACAGTCAAACATCAAACTTCATTATAGAGGTAAAAACACCACGATTTACTTTGAAATAAAAGTTCCTAATTGCAAGTTGAGATGTATGGAACTCGACTTGCCGCATCACTTTTTTTTTTTTCGTTTGTAATTGTCACACTAGGGTAACAAAAACTTTAACATTGCTGTCAACTCTCAATATGACATCCAAAGAACTGTCACAATCAGTGAAGCAGGTCATCCTTAGGCTGAGAGGCTGAAAGTTGGCAGCGAAAGCACGTCTTGTTGGGTTCATTTCAAATCAAACCTAAAAAGATGATAATTGTGTCAATGTCCCGATATTTACAGACCTAAGTATTCTAGCTCAATAGCAAGCTAGCTAATGGCAAAAACAAGTACCGTAAATCAGTGTTTATAGTACGACGTCCAAACTTCCTTTGATGACAATTTGTAACGTTCTGTAACTGAAATTATGTCCAATCACAGGCATATCTTTGTGAATATGTGGCTTGAATCCCAAATTGGACAACATTAGTGGAACTGGACTTTCGTGGTTGCACTGTAATTAGCAAAAGCAAGTTTAGGTTTAGACTTTGGTACATGAATACTCTGAAGGGAACTAATTAGCTTTTGTCCATCGGTGTCAAAAATGTCGAGTACATTGCCTCTGACGACGTTATTTAAAGACAAAGTTTGGACATGGCTCAGGTTGTTAATCAAGATAAAGCCTTGTTTGTAAACACAAAGTTAAGCTAATAAGCAGTAATCCCCGAGAAAAACTCATTACACGCGGCCTTGGATACACAGTAGAACAGTGTTTGATTAGCAGCTGTTCATGCGTAACCATGTCACTAATTAAATTTTAAAGCACAAGCGGAATCCATTTTATTTTTGTTTCAATATTGCCAACGCGTTATAAAGAGAAAGCCCACTCACGTTCCGCAGATGCAAGTGTACGAGGTGTGCCGCATTCCTCCTTTAGTGTAGCAGTAGTGCTGGAACAGGCTGAAAAGAAAGAAGATACATGGTATATAATAACTAAATGCATAAATAAAAACAATATTAAATTAAATTAATGAACAAAAATCTGCAAAACTGATAGTGTGCATGCGGCTAACTGATTTCTAAAAAGATTCATCGTTGGCGAACTAAAACTTAGCATTCTGATAAAGATTTTATTTTATTGAATATTTAGGGAACTGAACCACCTATCTGACTGGATGACTAACTAAATAAACGATTTGACAGCCTTTTTAGTCAGGTAACATAAAGGAATGAGCCTACCACATAACTATTTGACTGAGAAAACAACTGCCTAGCTTGCTGACTAGCACATTATTTTACGTGTAATTTGAATAAAGAACTTACTATTTGACTGGTTGATCAACTAGCTTGACAATTTACTTTTCATTAACTAAATAACTTATTTTATATAAGTCTACTACTGACTAACTCGAGAGTGACTTAACTAACTGGCAGGACTGTACTAATTCATTGTTTGGCTGACTAATTGGTTAGCTATCCTACAACAGTACGTCATGTAGTTGGATGATCATTGCTTGCTCGCTAGCTAGCTATTTGACAACCGTAGCTAAATGAGTAACAGAATCCTACTTTTACTATTCAACTGACTGACTTTACAAGCCAATGTACTACAATGAGGTCAAATATTGTAACCAACTAATTAATAGCTAGCTACAAAACATTTAGGTGAATGATGGATGGATGGATGGATGGTATACGTTTGATAACAGCTATTGTAGACTCACTGGCCACTTTATTAGGTTCAGAAAGACAACTTAATGAGATCCTAGACCCATAGGAAATATTCAACCTTTAAAAGGATAATGAAGCTGCCAGAGTTGTCATTTGACAGTATGTTAATACAGTATTGTGGTGGTTAGATTTTAGATTCCGATAGACCTACTCCTGACTTTACCTTTCCATTTCATATTCTTTTTGTCCAGGTTTCACACTCTTCATGATCTACAAAAACAAAAAGACACATGCTAGTGAGTAACAGGCTACATACTGTAGATGATGTTTCTGCTTAAAGATGCTACTTACAATCTTGTGGGCTTCGCTGGATACCTTGTTGGTGTACCTCAGGACCTCAAGCTCCATGTCCGTCTTAATCAGGCGGCTGCAGGGTCAAAGAGAGACAAAGAGCGGACCGATGCCATTCAAATCTGTCAGCAGGAGTAAACTGCGCATATTAACAAATCAGTTTGTTAAGAGGCGCAGTTAATTCCAGGAAGAAGTTGGAGTGCCACCAAGAAACCGTGCAGTTCAGATGTGCTCTCCTAATAGGTATCCTGCAGGAAGGACATAACCAGACATGTTCTCTTCAAATGTCATGGAGAATCTTTCTTTTTGTTTTTTTTCCTTTCTTTTGTGTCAAACAAAAACGTCACCTTCCTAGCTTTGCTAATACTCACAAGGTGCACCCGAATCTTTCAATATGGAGTCCTTCTGTACTAGGCCACTTTCTGTACATTGATAAACATACACTACCGTTAAACAATTCATTCGGGAAAACTTTTTTGAATTCTTTCCCTGTATTTTTGCATCTTCTTCCCCACCATGATATCAATAGTCTTCATCTTTTTGTCACCTTTGTTCCTAAAATCAATGACAATGCGTGCACGTTATCATTGTGCGATTTCGGCACGTGACGTACTGCGTGTCGGAAAATAATAAGAAACAAACAAAAACGTCGTGGGAAAACGGAGAGTGAAAGGGCAAGGCATTAGTGCAGAGCCATGTGATAAATGGTGGGGGGTTGTTGTTTTGCCATGCGGTAGAAACGTTGCCTCTCTCGACAGGGGGTGTGACTCAAGAGCATTCCGCCTCATTTTGGCCAGAAATGTCAATTCATCTGATGGCCCCAAAGTCTAATGCAGGGAACAAGCAGACGTGCACGTATTCAATCACGACTAACCGGCTTGAGGATGGGGGGATGGGGTGTGGGGTGTGGGCAAAACAAACCTGCCTCGTGAAGATTTCGATGACTTTGTCACAAAAGGTCGACTGAACTTTTAGAACGTGAACAGAGAAACAAGGATTTTTTTTTTCGTTGCTCAGTGTGAAATTCTAATGAAGCCAAATTACAAATTATAGAGGCTTAAAAAAAAAAAACGAATTCAAGTTTTCCTTTGTTCTAGGTCACTTAGAATTACTAAAATGACTTCTATTTGCTAAATGTCTGAAGACTTGGAGAAGGACTTTTGTTTTTTTTTCATGCATGTCACAACTTACCATTCCACAATGACTGGGTGCAGCAACATGTTGTTCACTTGGAATCTGAATCAAAAGAAAGAAAACAAAAGTAGCTCAGTTAGACAATACAAGACCTTTACATTTAATGGCCTTTCTTTAAAAAAAAAAAAGAATCATCATAAGATGAAGTTCATGATGCATATTTAATTTATTTATGTGTTTGTAACCCGTCCTTGTTTAGTTGCTTGGTCATCGCCTGATGCCAAACAGCACCAAATGCACTCCCACTGCCCACCCATCTCCTCGACCTGGTGTTTATCCGCACTAGGTGGAGAAGAGAAGGCAGAGGAGCTCGAAGATGCAGAGGATTTTTATTTTTTTTTTTAAATGACCAGAGAGCAGCAACGCTTGTTTACGTGACTAAAATTCTGCTTGAAAACACATAAAGCAAAATGCCATGAAAGCAAACCTACTTGCTAATTCCTTCAAAGGAGGCTTCCCGGCTGACGCTCCCGCTGTCTGTGTTCTGTCCTCGCTACAACACACGCACACCGACACACACACACATGCACAAAAAAAATACACAACATGAAATGTTAAATGCATCTGCACACCAATGTATAGTTAAATTAATTACCATCTTCGACTTTTATCAATCAAGTCAGAGTTTGTGTACGTCAACAGCAATAAAAAAAAAATAAATTATTATAATAATTGTATTCTCTGCTGACTAGTCTGAGCAAAATGCAGTAACAATTTATCATACGCGCAACCGTACAATTGTTGACTAATTACCTTTATAAATGTTGTAATTCTAAAAGTGGTCGTATTATACTGGGCGTTACAGCATTATTTCTCCCAGCCAGTTAGTCAGTGGGGGAAAAAAAAACCATGACAGTTGTAGTAGGAAGATGTCATTCTGTGGTATGACCGCAACGTATGACAACAATAAAAACTGCAAAATATTTCAACATTATTCTCATAATTTATAGTCGTGCCTTTTTCCCCTCCAAAATTCCAGTTTTATTCTTGTAAAATTCAATGTGGAACGATTCAATTCGATTAAATACGATCCACCTGCATCTTTAAAATCAAACATCGATTTTTCCTGGTTTGAACCGCTTTTGTTACACCCCTGGAGGATCGTGTAGGAAGAAATAAAGCAGCATACCAATGTGAGGAGCACGGCTGGTTTCAGCTTGCCCAGGACTTCAGCAATCTGAAAAGCAAAAAAAAAAAAAAAACCAATGACAAATAAGACTTTTTGTGTACACGCGCACACACATTGCAAAGTGAGACTCCGGTTGCCAGGTGTCGCCGTGGCTCTGCAGCACCAACGCAATCTCAAATCACTTTATTGTTCATCCTGCAGCCCAAAATGTCAGGTGACATTTTCCTGACACAACTGCTGTCCGCCCGGGGAGCGTTCCAACGACCACATGCCTTTAATTTTACACACATGAGCACCGGTGAAGGTCGTCTCGATTCACAAGCACCGTCGACACAATAAAGTGGAGCCGGTCTGTCTGAATGGTGGAGGCGAGTAATTTTACAGCGATAGACTCTCCAAGTGAACATATACCTGAGGTGCCCATTTTAAATTGCTGAGCACCTCAAGGGTATCCAAAACAATCAATAAATTCATGAATGAAAATGCATCATCTGCTGAAGCACTTGGCCTCACCCACCGAGGGCAAAAGAAAAGAAAAAAAAAATCACCATCAATAAGACACTTTTGGAGGTTTTAAAAGTGTGTTTTACACCTTAGTGAGAAGAACCTGAGGTCAAAGAACATTATGGAGCAAAACACTTATCAAGTCGAGCCAGACGCAACATTTTGACATGTGCTTGTGTAGATTTAAAAAAAAAAAAAAATAAAATACTTACGAAGGTCACGATATTGACGTGGTGCTTTTCTATTGTGCTTTATAGTGCAAGTCCCTGCTGGCGACACTTAAGGCGGGCGAAAGCCGCTATTATGGCGTTTTAGTCTTTGGAAGGCTCCCGCCGTGACTGTCACAGAGGAAGTGGCGGAAGATTGACGTGGAAGCCTCCCCCCCACCCCAGGCGGGAATCGCACGCCTCAGGGAAGCCGCAAGAAAAACTCAATTCTTAAGCAGCGAGAAGGTCATTGTGTAAATTTCGCAATGCTAATGCTAATGAAGGCTTACTTTCAAATTCATAGATCAGAGCCCTTTAAGACTTCGGGGATCCATGAGAACCCCGGGTAAGGCAAAGTTAAAAACGTAGACTTACATCACAGGTGTATTGCACCTCGTCAACAGCATACTTCTTCCGGAAGTGGTCTTTGGAATAGATCCTGTCAACACAACAGGCTCACATTACTGTTACCCCAAACACTCCAGCTCCCAGAAAACACAAAGACTCACTCTCCCATCCATGTGGCGTAGCTGTCAGGCAGTTTTGGAACAAACAGGATGGATTTTCCGGAGTCCACTTCAATAACCCCATAGCAGTCAGCCTCAGTCACCCCAAAGGCCCAATGGAAGAAAGACTCCTGAAGTAAGAAAGTGCACAAGAGGAAAACAAATGTACCACCTACCCCATTTGTGACGATAATATTTTTCTAGGGCTTGACCACAGCCTGGTGATTTCAAGTAATGCAGCTTTGCGAATCAACCACCAACCTGCCTGAAGAGGAGGTCCGTGTCGGTGCAGTGCCTCTGCTGTTGCTCGCCGCCCTGCAGCACCACAACCGAGGAGGACTCCACACCTTCTTTGGCTCTCAGCTCGCAGCACAGACGCTCGCGGTTCTTTGCGAAAAGCTCGGTGGACACTCGGAGGGTGTCATTACCCAGCCAGAAGCACGGTCTGAAAGCAAAAAATAAATAAATGAATAAATTACATTAATAAAAAATGGAACAAACATATTTATGGGGAGCTGAAATGGGATTTGAAAGAAAAAAAAAAAAGAATTGTTTTGTCAGTTTGTTTGTAGGACAATTGTAATTTATTGCGTCCTATTTTAATGACCGGTGCAGGGTTTGTTCATTCTTGGGTCTTTTTATTTTAAATGCTTTATATCATCATTTTCTGTGTTCAGCAAGCTTTTCAATGAAACAAACATTTTTAAACATTAGCGTTGTGCGCCAATTACGAACAGTTGTACGCTTTTATTAACGAAGGAGGGCCAATGTGTCTATTAGAAGAGCAGCCACGATTTCAGAAAAGCCAGTCAGGTGCAGTGTCACTGCATGTATACATTCATGTGAGTACGGATCAATAACTGGTCTTTAAAGGACCCCTGGAAGTACAGAAAGGTCCTCAAAATTGTGATTTATTTAGCCCAGGAATAACAACAGCAACGAAGCAACCCAGCAATTTTAAGAGAGCCTTGGCACCGCATGCTCAGGCCCTAATAACAGTGTTTACGAGGTTTATGGATCGACCTTGAGTACAGTCCAGCGTGCAGGATCAGATAGACTGTGTCTTATCAGCAAAGAGAGACTTGCTATCTGACCCGCCGTGTTACAAGCTTGTCAAAGTACTGCCTTAATCTTTGCACAGTCGGGGTGACTCCTCACACCACTTCAAATGTTATTATGTCATATCTGATGGATTATCTACACGTCCTGGCAACACGGCGGGAGTAAGGGTGAGGGGGGCAGCATTGCTATGAACTGAATAACTACCCCCACAAAACATCAAGGTCAGACTTTGTGTGTGTGGGTGTGTGTGCGTGTGTTTTCTTACAATAGTAAGCCAATCAGCTCAATGATTACATCACATAATAATTAAACACATTCACTGACAGAATGAGAGGGTTTATCATAAAAAAAATACCCCTCCAAAATTGTAATTTGACTTTTTTTTAACAATGACTATTGAGAGCCACCTTTTTAAAATATGTGGATCGATATAAAAGAAATATAAATTACAGATTTAATGCTAATGAAGGCTTACTTTCAAATTCATAGATCAGAGCCCTTTAAGACTTCGGGGATCCATGAGAACCCCGGGTAAGGCAAAGTTAAAAACGTAGACTTACATCACAGGTGTATTGCACCTCGTCAACAGCATACTTCTTCCGGAAGTGGTCTTTGGAATAGATCCTGTCAACACAACAGGCTCACATTACTGTTACCCCAAACACTCCAGCTCCCAGAAAACACAAAGACTCACTCTCCCATCCATGTGGCGTAGCTGTCAGGCAGTTTTGGAACAAACAGGATGGATTTTCCGGAGTCCACTTCAATAACCCCATAGCAGTCAGCCTCAGTCACCCCAAAGGCCCAATGGAAGAAAGACTCCTGAAGTAAGAAAGTGCACAAGAGGAAAACAAATGTACCACCTACCCCATTTGTGACGATAATATTTTTCTAGGGCTTGACCACAGCCTGGTGATTTCAAGTAATGCAGCTTTGCGAATCAACCACCAACCTGCCTGAAGAGGAGGTCCGTGTCGGTGCAGTGCCTCTGCTGTTGCTCGCCGCCCTGCAGCACCACAACCGAGGAGGACTCCACACCTTCTTTGGCTCTCAGCTCGCAGCACAGACGCTCGCGGTTCTTTGCGAAAAGCTCGGTGGACACTCGGAGGGTGTCATTACCCAGCCAGAAGCACGGTCTGAAAGCAAAAAATAAATAAATGAATAAATTACATTAATAAAAAATGGAACAAACATATTTATGGGGAGCTGAAATGGGATTTGAAAGAAAAAAAAAAAAGAATTGTTTTGTCAGTTTGTTTGTAGGACAATTGTAATTTATTGCGTCCTATTTTAATGACCGGTGCAGGGTTTGTTCATTCTTGGGTCTTTTTATTTTAAATGCTTTATATCATCATTTTCTGTGTTCAGCAAGCTTTTCAATGAAACAAACATTTTTAAACATTAGCGTTGTGCGCCAATTACGAACAGTTGTACGCTTTTATTAACGAAGGAGGGCCAATGTGTCTATTAGAAGAGCAGCCACGATTTCAGAAAAGCCAGTCAGGTGCAGTGTCACTGCATGTATACATTCATGTGAGTACGGATCAATAACTGGTCTTTAAAGGACCCCTGGAAGTACAGAAAGGTCCTCAAAATTGTGATTTATTTAGCCCAGGAATAACAACAGCAACGAAGCAACCCAGCAATTTTAAGAGAGCCTTGGCACCGCATGCTCAGGCCCTAATAACAGTGTTTACGAGGTTTATGGATCGACCTTGAGTACAGTCCAGCGTGCAGGATCAGATAGACTGTGTCTTATCAGCAAAGAGAGACTTGCTATCTGACCCGCCGTGTTACAAGCTTGTCAAAGTACTGCCTTAATCTTTGCACAGTCGGGGTGACTCCTCACACCACTTCAAATGTTATTATGTCATATCTGATGGATTATCTACACGTCCTGGCAACACGGCGGGAGTAAGGGTGAGGGGGGCAGCATTGCTATGAACTGAATAACTACCCCCACAAAACATCAAGGTCAGACTTTGTGTGTGTGGGTGTGTGTGCGTGTGTTTTCTTACAATAGTAAGCCAATCAGCTCAATGATTACATCACATAATAATTAAACACATTCACTGACAGAATGAGAGGGTTTATCATAAAAAAAATACCCCTCCAAAATTGTAATTTGACTTTTTTTTAACAATGACTATTGAGAGCCACCTTTTTAAAATATGTGGATCGATATAAAAGAAATATAAATTACAGATTTCTTGTTATAATCTAAATGTTTTAATATGGGCTTTACATATATACAGGACAGGGATCTAGAAAGTGATCATATCCCTGTTACTATTTTCATTATATCCTAAAATAGACACCACACACTAATAATAATGATCATACTAATAGTGAGACTATTTTTAAGAAGATTTGTGAATTCAAACTGATAGGGTTTCCATATTTAATAAAATTGACATAAACAATAATAATAAAGTTTCCGTGAGGGGACCCTCCCAAGAGTATAATTGATTGATTGAACAAAAATCCATCCATCATCTGAAGTGCTTTATAATAATAATAATCATAATAATAATAATAATACTGACAATGATAACGTAAAATAATATTTTTATGATAAATAAGAATTGAGAATTTAAACATAAGAAGAAACTAAGACATAATGGCAAATCTATATTTACAAATGCACAATACATCGCTCCCAAAATATTACAAGGAAGAAATTGTTCTAAAAGTATATTTGTTTCTTTTTCATCTGACTTGTAACTGCTGTAGGTGAACTGTCATTATTTTTATTTGATACTTGGAGGGTTTTTTTTTTTTTTGACGTCTGAGAAACCAGTGGCTATAGATCAAGAACGCAGCACTACAGGAGTATAATTTAATAGTGTTTCACATTCTATAACTGTATAATTCCTGTAAGTTATTTATTTGGGTAAAGATTGTGTTTTTAATTAGTAATTGGACATTGAACTTTTGTTGTGAGGTTGCATACGGCTTTTGACAGCCAACTTACAACAAACGTCTGAGAAAGCGTGACGCTGGTATCGAGGCGGCACAGCATTAAGAATATCACTTCTAAACACAGTGGCATGCATTTTAATAAATAATAGAATGTGGTGGTGTTGTCCTAAAGTAAGATGTAAAAACTCACTGCGGCGCTGCAGCCATGACGACGTTCCGGTTTCCACCAAGTGTCACGTGCTAGCGGAAGTCACGTGGTTTTCTTCCCTTGACGCGAGGTGGTGCTGCGTTCATAATAATCGGACTTTAGCGTTTTTTAAATGGCCTGACGACATTCCACAATGAAAGTAGTGCTTTTACTGTACATCGAGCGCAGGCTGATTTATATAATACTGTAAATATTCGTTATTAAATGGTCTTTGTACAGGACAACATGCTCTTTTCTACAATTCAGCCCACTGGATATTTATCACGATTAATGATAATATTAATCTCATATTATCATAACATATATCTACTGTGAGGCTTCTGTTGAAACTATCCCTTACAAATGGTTAATTTAGTAAACAGTCAATTGTATTGCATTGCATAGTAACATTATGTTAAGCTGGGTAAATATGATGCCTGCGCATGACACGTTTCAGATTTTACAGTGGAACCTCAATTTAATGGTGGTGGCGTACTCCGTCAAAGGTTGGTCAAAAACAACTGCTTACCGTACCAAAACCTGAATACAGTACTGTAGTATGTTCGGGAAAATCAAACAGGTCTGTCACAAATATTTTCCTTACATGTATTAACATAAACTCAATTTAGTCGACCATGTGAGGTTTTACCATGCGGATATCGCACAGCCTTTCATCTCTTTGTGTTTTCTTCACAGTAAGCTGCACACCTGTTGTAATACGCGTGCCACTTTTTAATTAAAAAGACCAATAGTGCAATTAAGAAGCCTGACCTTATGGCATCACATTGCCATGATGCTTTCAGCTGTTTTTTTTTGTTGTATTTGCGTCAGGTGCCGCACGGAAATGAAACGACCTGCTGCCTCCAGTGTAAATGAGCCAAACGCGCGGCCAGAATTAAAAGCCGCTGGTCTGTGTAATTTAAAGGCAACAGGCAACTTGTTTGTTCTGCTTTGAGGATCATTCATTTGCGAATGTTTGCCCAAGTGGGCCGTAGAACTTCACTAATGCACATTTGTTTCGATGCAATTACAAACAAAACCCATTAGGCAAAAGACTTTTGGTGCACAATCTCATGAGTCCAATAAAGATGTATATCAAAAAAAGAAAAAAAAAATGCTGATTTTGATTGACCCGGTCATAGAGACAAATATTTCATTTCTGGGTCTTTTTTTTAACCATCTGTGAGGACAGACTGGCAGTTGTAAGGTTGGTTTGAAATGAGATTTAAGTGTTTTGGAAATCCAATGTGGTTCTTAGATTAATACAGGCATTTACATTTTTCAGGGTTGGCTTTGATCACTTGTAGCTCAGTTAAGACTTTTACTTGACTACGCATGTAATGTTTAAATCAACATTGTATCCTACTTTCCTGTCATACAATCAAGAAAAATACTCTTAATATTACAAAGTATTAGGATGTAAAGAATGAAGTCTCATCTGTGATGGGACTCACTACATACAGCATTTCTATATATTTTCTGCTTTTTGTTGCATGTGTTGAAACACATTTACATTGCGTTTAAGATTGAAACACACGTAAATGTATCGAAACTCATTTTTTGAAGTTAAAAATGTTTTTATAGTCTCACTATATTGCGGGTTTTCATCTTTAGCTGATGGGTCTGGATTGTATCAGCGCAATTTCTAATGTTTATTATATGTTTAATGTTTAATGTGGATTCATCATCCAAGTACTGCATCTGAATACATTTTCATGATCTTAAGTCATTTTTTTTCATGACTTTTACTTAATATTATGACCGACTTTGGTCTAAATATTATTGATATTTGGATCGATGTGTTCTCTTGTCATAAGAAGAATTGTTCCTAACAGAGTGTTAGAAGAATTGTTCCTAACAGAGTGTTCCAACAACCTGTTTTTCACTGCACCTTTGTGTCTGCTTCTTCTTGCTGCAAGAAAATATAGTGTACATCTGGGAGACCTGACTAATTCAGGTCTCCCAGAATTACAAGCACACAACCCCCCTTTTGTCAGCGTTGCATGTAAATGGGGCAAATGACACCATTTGCAACGCTGTTCCGCATAGCGGAAGGATGAATGAATGTGATCATATTAGCATAGCGGCTGCACGGATACCAAAGATTTGTGGGAAAGCGCAGTAGCCTGTTTAATTAAAGGTCATTCCTCATTAAGACGTATGAAATCATTACTACAAAGCACTGAGGTTGCAAGTGGTTAAAATATTCTCATCAGCACCATGGATGGAATCTTTCATACACATTTGGCTCTGTATATTACTTTTTTTTTTAACATGTTATTTTTCCATTGCAGCAGCACATAATTATTACATTTTTTCTATTCTAATATTTGCAATGCACTTTTATGTGCTGATACTGGCAATGTCTTTTATAATTGGCTAGCTGCTGTGAGACGCTGTGCATGTTTGTGTGTGTGTGCGCGCTTGTGTGTGTGTGTGTGTGTGTGTGTGTGTGTGTGTGTGTGTGTGTGTGTGTGTGTGTGTGTGTGTGTGTGTGTGTGAGAGATGCACACCAAACCCTTTTTAATAATCCCCTGCACTTGCTCAAAAAGCAAGTCACACACTGGAGACACAGAAAATGGAGCCTGAATTTGTGGCGTGTGGACTGACTGTCTTGTGTTGTTCCGCGCATTACGACAACAGTAATTCAAGTTTAGATAAACGTAAAAATACATCACAAAAAGAACATATTTTTCATCGTACTTTAATGATTTGCTTCATTGAAATTGTAAGTCAATGAAAATTATTGACCGGTCCTAAATAAAAACAACCTGTGAATACAAATATTTGTCAGGACAAACAGCAGTGAATGATGGGTATAATTTTTAGTGGAAGTTGAAATGTTTAAACGTCGATTTAAGACTTATTTCTAGACCATCGCTTTGTGTATCACCTCACCTATGTGTAAAGTCTCTCGTCCTGCCTCACTCACTGACATCAGGATTTTGGTCTCTTTGACTGCTGCCGCTCTGTTGAGCTCTTTGAATCCTCGTCACACTTCCTCCCTCCCTCCATGACCCCTGCAGGCCACGGAGGGAAGAAGGAGAGGATGTTGAGCATGAACTGCACATTCAGCGCCAGTTCCCCCCGCATCCTTTTGTTTTATCTTGAGTGTCAGACACAATTTGAACTGCTCCACTCCAGCTTTCTGGAACTTCAAGCTTTTTGTTTGCAGGCTTTGGACATCTGCGATCCAATAGTTCCAAGTCACAGAGAAGAACAGACATTAAAAGAAGAATGGAAAGAATGAAACTTCTACCAATGCATCAACCGGAATTTTTTGGGAGGTACTAAAGCATGTTCACATCAAATTGAATTTTGATGATGGGAATGATGGGGAAAAAAAAATGTTCCGCATACAGTTTTGCTTGTTGGAGTGCAATCAGGAGATGTGCTCCAATCCAATTTAACGTGCAAAGGTATTTGAGGAAATAATTATTAGTTAAGTGGAAAATGATGATTATCCGCCGGGCTGGTGGCCTTGTTTGTGTATGGTGGATCAGTTAAAGACTCACAATTACACAATGCTGCCTTGTTAAATTGGTGATTACAGAGCATCGTTGTCACATGAGTCCCAGTGATGCTTTTAACTTTGCTGTGACAGGTATCAAAATCTTCCCCCTAGATTTGGGGTGGCCAGATGGGCAGCCACCCCTAGCGAACACTTAGCTCCACCCCTGACTCTGATGATGCGGCCAGGCATAACGCCGGGCGCTCGCACTATTGACCACGACACTTCAACTTTGCGCAAAAATGGAAAAGTGATCACGCTGTAGAAGCCAGTGGTCGCGTTGCTGCAGCGTTTCCATTTCTTCACAAAAACAGCATAAGAGGAAATATCCAGTGACACAAAAACAACTGAAATGACTGAAGAATTCCAAGGAGCAGCAACACTGAGGTTGCAACTGGTTGAAATTCCTCATCATCACTATAGATGGAATCTTTCATACAGATTTTGATTCTTTTTCCATCAAAGGATCAGATAATGACATTTTTTCCTATTATATGATGTGGAATGCACTTTTTAATGTGTTGATTCTGGGAATATCCTGTTGCCTGATTGGCTGGCTGCTGTGAGACGATGTGTGTGTTTGTGTGTGTGTGTGTGTGTGTGT